TGGAATTGTAGCTCAAGCAGTAGAGCATTTACCTAGCAAGTACTACCAAAAAAAAAAAAAAAGTCAGAAGGTGACAAATTGGCAAATGTAGAAAAATAAATTTTTCTACCCAAAATGCAGTAATCATTTCAGAGACAACCCCTATAAACAATTTTGTGTATTTCTGGTACATATTTCTAATTCTATGCACGTATTTTTTATACTGGTGGGCAGCTCTTTTAAAGTTGGAATCATAAGTATTAACAATTTTTAATCCTGCTATAATTTTATTTAATGGTAAACAGTACATATTTCAGTCCTTGCCACTAAAGATTCTTCCAAAACATAGTACTGATAGCTGACTGTAGATGTTTTCTCATGGGTGTAGTGAAAACTCTTCAAATGATTGAGTATTATCAACACCCAGGCTGTTTTCAGTTCCCAGTTTCCTAACTTACAATGAGGTCAATAAAACTTGCACAGTGGTAGCATTCTCACAGTGAAATCACCACGTCAGAGGCCAGGGCCACCAGCTGCTTCCCACTGCAAGTCTCTCTCTCCCTGTCCCTGTCCTTCCCTGTGTGCTTTCACTCTCCTTTTCTTTCCTCCCTCTTCTTTTTTTTTTGTTTTTGTTTTTGATTTTTGTGTGTGTGCGTGTGTGCGTGCGTGCGTGTGTGTGCGTGTCTGCGTGTGTGTGCGTGTGTGCGTGCGCGCGCGTGTGCGTGTGCGTGCGTCTGTGGTGCTGGCAATCGAACCCAGGGATTTGTGCATGGTAGGCGATCACTCTACCACCAAGCTATATACCTGGAATCACTGCCTCTTACCATCTCTGCCCATACATACAAATGGTCCCTGTCAATGCCATAGGTGACAATTATATTCTAGGGCTGAAGGTGTGATTCAAGTGGAAGGCCTGTCTAACAAGTATGAGGCTCTAAGTTCAAACTCCAGTACTGCCAAAAAAAAGAAAAAAGAAAAAAAGCCAGGCACACTATGGAGGTTCAAGCCTGTAATCTTCAGGAGGCATGGATCAGGAAGATCACGATTCAAGGCCAGCCTGGTCAAAACAGTTCACAAGACCCCATCACCAAAAGCTGGGCTCACTGATATTTGTCTGTCATCCCAGCAATGGCAAAAAATGCAAAATAGAGGGATCAGGGACTAGGCCAGCCTAGGCAAAAAGTGAAACTCTATTTCCAAATAAACAAAGTAAAAAGGGCTCAAGATATGGCTTAAATGGTAGAGTGCCTGCCTTGCAAGCACAAAAACCCTGAGTTCAAACTCCAGAACTACCAAAAATTAAATTCTCTATTTCTTTGAAAGTGAAGTTGAGCATGCTTTTAAGGCCACTTGCTAATGTAAATACACAAAATAATTCTTAAGCATAGGCCACAAGAAGAAGACTCTTAGAGCATGTCTTTATGACTACAGAATGTCCAAATCAGCTGGGAAGGCCAGAAAGCAGTGGCCATGCAGGTGGCAGCCTGTGTCCATTGGCCACATCAGTAGTACTCACCAGTTTGGTAATGCCCCCATGTTGTCTCACCACCCGCCGGGCTCTCTTGAACTTGGCAACATTTGCAATGGTTTCAGCTGCCAAACACTTCAGACTCTTGTGTGGAGAATCGAGGATATTAACCATAATTGGTAAGCCCCCAAGGTCAACAATATTACGTCTGATTTGAGGATTATGACTAATTTCCTTCAGGATTTTTAATGAACCAATCTACATGGGAAAAAAGTATAGATAAATGAGTGCATAATGCATGCCCAGAGCTATGTCTTTAGGTAGTCTAAGTCTACCTAAAGTCCTTCTCCAAATAAGTTTTTTTTTTCCTTTTCTTTTATTATTCATATGTGCATACAAGCCTTGGTTCATTTCTCCCCCTGCCCCCACCCCCTCCTTTACCACCCACTCCGCCCCCTCCCTCTCCCTCCCCCAATACCCAGCAGAAACTATTTTGCCCTTATTTCTAATTTTGTTGTAGAGAGAGTATAAGCAATAACAGGAAGGGACAAGGGTTTTTGCTGGTTGAGATAAGGATAGCTATACAGGGCATTGAATCACATTGATTTCCTGGGCGTGGGTGTTACCTTCTAGGTTAATTCTTTTTGATCTCACCTTTTCTCTAGTACCTGTTCCCCTTTTCCTATTGGCCTCAGTTTCTTTTAAGGTATCTGCTTTAGTTTCTCTGCATTAAGGGCAACAAATGCTAGCTAGTTTTTTAGGTGTCTTACCTATCCTCACCCCTTCCTTGTGTGCTCTTGCTTTTATCATGTGCTCAAAGTCTAATTCCATTGTTGTGTTTGCCCTTGATCTAATGTCCACATATGAGGGAGAACATACGATTTTTGGTCTTTTGGGCCAGGCTAACCTCACTCAGAATGATGTTCTCCAATTCCATCCATTTACCAGCGAATGATAACATTTCGTTCTTCTTCGTGGCTGCATAAAATTCCATTGTGTATAGATACAACATTTTTTAATCCATTCGTCAGTGGTGGGTTCCATAACTTGGCTATTGTGAATAGTGCCACAATAAACATGGGTGTGCAGGTGCCTCTGGAGTACCTGTGTCACAGTCTTTTGGGTATATCCCCAAGAGTGTATTGCTGGATCAAATGGTAGATCGATGTCTAGCTTTTTAAGTAGCCTCCAAATTTTTTTCCAGAGTGGTTGTACTAGTCTACATTCCCACCAACAGTGTAAGAGGGTTCCTTTTTCCCCGCATCCTCACCAACACCTGTTGTTGGTGGTGTTCCTGCTGATGGCTATTCTAACAGGGGTGAGGTGGAATCTTAGTGTGGTTTTAATTTGCATTTCCTTTATTGCTAGAGATGGTGAGCATTTTTTCATGTGTTTTTTGGCCATTTGAATTTCTTCTTTTGAGAAAGTTCCTGTTTAGTTCACTTGCCCATTTCTTTATTGGTTCATTAGTTTTGGGGAGAATTTAGTTTTTTAAGTTCCCTATATATTCTGGTTATCAGTCCTTTGTCTGATGTATAGTTGGCAGATAAATTCTCCCATTCTGTGGGTGTTCTCTTCAGTTTAGAGACCATTTCTTTTGATGAACAGAAGCTTTTTAGCTCCAATTAAGATTTTTAAGAAATAGTTTCCATCCCCAGGAGTAATACACATCTTCCATATTTTCCTACATTTTTGTAAACAGACACCATTCCAGAAGCTCAAGGAGCTAATGAAAAAGAGCAAGAGAAAGAAGAAAAGAAGAGAGAACAGAAAACACAGCTAACAGAAGAGGCAGGATGACCATTACAGCCTGAGAAATGGAACAGACAGGAAAGCACGGCAGACAGCCAGAGCTTCCAGGACAGCCACGAGTAGGCGGACCCAAGACTACTCAGCCACTGTGACAAAGCCACTCACCTTACATTTGACCTCATCTGTATCAAGTAAATTTATTAAAATTTCCAGGCCTCCAACATCTCTGATAGCCAGCTGACAGGTCTCTTGAGCCAAGTTGAAATCCCTCATTGAACACAAGGCAATCACTGTCGCAGTCTGGTTTCCACCCTGAGGAGATGCAATGCCACAGAACATTACAGAAAACTGTGTTCTCACAGAAATGCACTAGATGGTCATGATTCCTTGAACTAGGAAACGTGTCTTTCCATACACAGCACATTAAATTTTTTTTTAAGTTCTCTGAGTGGGGCTATAATTTGTTAAATGAATCGTGTCAAGCTGAGCATGGAAAAGCTGTACAGAGCATCATAAAACGTCATTCCAATTAAAAGTCAACATTTACAGGTGGTCTGTCTCCTTTAAACAGCTAGAACATTAGGTGATGTTAATATATTAAAGAGAGTCAAGGGGCATGCCTTGAGAATGGTTGAGGAATGGAAACTGTATGCTGAGGAAACAGATGGTCCCTCAGTTCTTGAACAGTGTGTTGTGCAAGGCAATCCATGTCTCAAAATTACTCTTACAGACTATGATATTGAAAAATAGATGCATTTGGCCTTGTCTTTGTTTATTGGCATGTGACTACTAAAATCCTTGCAATCTTCAAATTGCTAAGTTTCCTAGTATGTTTACAAGAAACCCACCTTATTGAAAGAAACAAACACTGTCTTAGGGTGAAAGGGTGGAGGAAGATTTACCAAACTAATGACCCCCGAAAACAGGCAAGAGTGCAATGCTTATGTCAGATAAAGTGGACTTCAAACTTAAATTAGTCAGAAGAGACAATGAAGTTTATTCTAATAAAAGGAGCAATATCAAGAGGAAGTAACAATTGTTAACTTATATGTACCCCATGTCAGTGCATCCAACTAATGGACTTAAAAACACAGATAGACCCCAACACAGTGGTAGTGGGAGACTTTAATACTCTTCTATCACCAATAGATAGGTCATCCAGACAAAAAAACCAACAAAGAAATTCTAGAATTGAATGATACCATAGATCTAATGGACCTGACAGATGTCTACAGAAAATTCTATCCTGCAATAGCACAATATACATTCTCCTTAACAGCCCATGGAACTTTCTCCAAAATAGACCATATCTTAGCTCACAAAACAAGGCTCAAGAAATGTAAGAAAATTAAAATAATCTCCTGCATATTCTCTGACCACAATGCAATAAAACTAGAACTCAACAACAAAAGAAGGAGCAGAAAATACCCCAACAGTTGGAGGCTGAACAACACATTACTCAATGGTCAGCAGGCCACAGAAGAAATAAAGGAGGAAATAAAAATTCCAGGAATTTAAGGAAAATGAAAACACAATTTATCAGAACTTATGGGGCACAGCAAGGGCAGTCCTAAGCGGAAAGTTTCTAGTCATGAATTGCATATATTAAAATCACAGAAAAATCTCAAAGAATTGACCTAATGCTACATCTCAAACTTCTAGAAAAACAAGAACAAGCTAAACCCAAAACAAGCAGGAGAGAAATCATAAAAATAAGGGCCAAAATCAATGAAATAGAGACAAAAAAATAATACAAAGAATCAATGAAACTAAAAAAACTGATTATTTGAAAAATAAACAAGATTGACAAGCCCCTGGCAGTTCTGACTAAAATAAGGAGGGAAAAAACACAAATTAATAAAATTAGAAACAAAAGGGAGAGATAACAAACACCAGGGAAATCCAAGGGATCATCAGAGATTATTTTGAAAACCTATATGCAAATAAACTGGAAAATCTAGAAGGAATGGATAAATTTTCTAGATACATATGACCATCTAAAATTGAACCAAGAGGATATTAATCACCTACACAGATCTATAACACACAATGAAATTGAAGCAGCAATAAAAGTCTCCCAAAAAAGAAAAGTCCAGGACCAGACAGATTCTCCACTGAATTCTACCAGACTTTTCAAGAAGAACTAATACCAACAGTACTTAAACTTTTCCATGAAACAGAAAGGGAAGGAACACTGTGAAACTCATCCTATGAAGCCAGCATTACACTCATCTCCAAACCAGAAAAAGCCACAACAAAAAAAGAGAATTGCAGGATAATCTCTTTAATGAACATATACACAAAAATCCTCAATAAAATGATGGCAAACCAAATTTAATAGCATATCAAAAAGTTCATACACCATGACCCAGGGATGCAGGGATGTTTCAACATATGCAAATCTAGAAATGTTTATTTATTTATTTTTATTGTTTTATTATTCATATGTCCATACAAGGCTTGGATCATTTCTCCCCCCTGCCCCCACCCCCTCCCTTACCACCCACTCCACCCCCTCCCTCTCCCCCCCACCCCCTCAATACCCGGCAGAAAGTATTTTGCCCTTATCTCTAATTTTGTTGAAGAGAGAGTATAAACAATAATAGGAAGGAACAAGTGTTTTTGTTGGTTGAGATAAGGATAGCTATACAGGGCATTGACTCACATTGATTTCCATTGATTTTCTCTAGTTCCTGGTCCCCTTTTCCTATTGGCCTCAGTTGCTTTTAAGGTATCTGCTTTAGTTTCTCTGCATTGAGGGCAACAAATGCTAGCTAATTTTTTAGGTGTCTTACCTATCCTCACCCCTCCCTTGTGTGCTCTCACTTTTATCATGTGCTCAAAGTCCAATCCCCTTGTTGTGTTTGCCCTTGATCTAACGTCCACAGCAAATCTAGAAATGTAATACAGCATATTAACATAAGCAAAGACAAAAACCATTTGATCATCTCTATAGATGCAGAAAAAGGTTTTGATAAAATTCAACATCCTTTAATGATAGAAGCTCTGATGAAACTAGGAATAGAAGGAATGTACCTCAACATAAAAAAGGCTATATATGACAAACCTATAGCCAGCATCATACCAAATAGGGAAAAACTGAAACCATTTCCTCTAACCTCAGGAACAAGACAAGGGTGTCCAATCTCTCTAATCCTGTTCAACATAGTCTTGTTTTTCCTAGCCAGAGCAGTAAGACATGAAGAAGAAAGAAAAAGAATACAAAGGTAAGGAAGAAGTCAAACGATCCCTATTTGCAGATGACATGATTTTATATCTAAAAGACCTGAAAAACTCCACCAAAAAACTCCTAGGCACCATAAACAGATTCAGCAAAGTAGCAGGATACAAAATCAATTTATAAAAATCTGTAGCCTTTCTATACAACAACGAACAAATTGAGAAAGAATATAGGAAAACAATTTCATTTACAGTAGCCTCAAAAAAGTCAAATATCTAAGAATAAACTTAACAAAGGACGTGAAAGATCTGTACAAGGAGAACTACAAACCATGAAGAAAGAAATCAAAGAAAACTACAGAAGACGGAAAGATCTCCCATACTAATGGATTGAGAAAATCCACATAGCGAAAATATCTATACTATTAAAGCAATTTACATGTTCAACACAATTCTCATCAACATTCCAATGACATTCATCACAGAGAATAAAAAATCAACCCTAAAGTTCATTTGGAAGCACAAAAGACAGCGAATAACCAAGGCAATACTAAGCAAAAAAAGCATCGCTAGATGTATTACAATACATGACTTCAAACTATACTACAGAGCCATAGCAACTAAAACAGCATGATACTGGCACAAAAACAGGTATGAAGACTGTGGAACAGAATAGAAGACCCAGATATGAATTCATGCAGCTACGTCCACCTAATTTTTGACAAAGATGCCAAAAATGTACAATGGAGAAAAGACACCTCTTCAACAAATGTTGCTGGTAAAACAGGATATCTGCATGCAGAAAACTGAAAATAGACCCATGTCTTTCCCCCTGTACAAGGATTAAGGACCTTAATATAAGACCTGAAGCTTTGAAGCTAGAGCAGGAAAGAGCAGGGAATACCCTGGAAGCAATAGGCATGGGCAAAGACTTCCTCAGAAGAATTCAAATGGCTCAGCAACTGAGAGAAAGGATTGACAAATGGGACTACATGAAGTAAAAAAGTTTCTGCACAACAATAGAAATGATTTCTAAATTAAAGAAGCTGTCCACAGAATGGGAGAAAATCTTTGCCAGCTATACATCAGACAAGGGACTGATAACCAGAATATGCAGGGAGCTCAAAAAACTAAACTCCCCAAAAAATCAATGACCTGATGAAGAAATGGGCAAATGAAATGAACAGAGCTTCTTCAAAGGAAGAAATCCAAGTGGCTAAAAAACACAAGAAAAAAATTCTCGCTATCCCTGACTATAAAGGAAATGCAAATCAAAACCAAATTAAGAGTGAGAGCACACAAGGGAGGGGTGAGGATAGGTAAGACACCTAAAAAATTAGCTAGCATTTGTTGCCCTTAATGCAGAGAAACTAAAGCAGATACCTTAAAAGCAACTGAGACCAATAGGAAAAGGGGACCAGGAACTAGAGAAAAGGTGAGATCAAAAAGAATTAACCTAGAAGGTAACACACACGCACAGGAAATTAATGTGAGTCAACTCCCTGTATAGCTATCCTTATCTCAACCAGCAAAAACCATTGTTCCCTCCTATTATTGCTTATATTCTCTCTTCAACAAAATTAGATATAAGGGCAAAATAGTTTCTGCTGGGTATTGAGGGGGTGGGGGAGAGGGAGGGGGCGGAGTGGGTGGTAAGGGAGGGGGTGGGGGCAGGGGGGAGAAATGACCCAAGCCTTGTATGCACATATGAAAAATAAAAAAAAACGGTAGGTCAACCAAGCCTGACAGAAAAAAAAAAAAAACCACATTAAGATTCCACCTCCTCCTGTTACAATGGCTACTATCAAGACACAAACAGTGCCAATGGCTCACCTCTGTAATCCTAGCTACTCAGGAGGCAGAGATCAGGAGGATCGTGGTTTGAAGCCAGCCCTAACAAATAGTTTGCAAGACCCTATCTTGAAAATACCCTTCACAAAAAAGGGCTGGTGGAGTGACTCAAGGTGTAGGCCCTGAGTTCAAGCCCCAGTACCACAAAAAAAAAAAAAAGAACAAAAAATGACAAATGTTGGCAAGGATGCTGGGGAAAAGAAACACTCATACACTTCTGGTGGGAATGTAAATTAGTACAACCTTACGGAAAAAAATATGTATGGAGGCTCCTCAACAAA